TTTTTATCCAAATTTAATTGGGGATATTTTACTGTTTTTATCAAAATTTTAATTGGGGATATTTTATTGTTTTTACTGGAACAAACTGAGAGTGAAGTGGCTCAGTCTGCATGTGAAGCTCTGTAACATGCTTTTAAGGGGAAAACGTATTTTATTTGTTTTTATCCAAATTTTAATTGGGGATATTTTACTGTATTTATCCAAATTTTAATTGGGGATATTTTACTGTTTTTATCCAAATTTTAATTGGGGATATTTTATTGTTTTTACTGGAACAAACAGAGTGAGGTGGCTCAAGTCTGCATGTGAAGCTCTGTAACATGCTGCTAAGGGGAAAAAAGTATTTTATTTGTTTTTATCTAAATTTTAATTGGGGATATTTTTCTGTTTTATCCAAATTTTAATTGGGGATTTTTTACTGGAACAAACTGTGAGTGAGGTGGCTCAGTCTGCATGTGAAGCTCTGTAACATGCTTTTAAGGGGGAAAAAGTATTTTATTTGTTTTTATCCAAATTTTAATTGGGAATATTTTACTGTTTTTATCCAAATTTTAATTTGGGATATTTTTCTGCATTTATCCAAATTTTAACCGGATATTTTACTGTTTTTATCTAAATTTTAATTAGGGATATTTTACTGTTTTTATCTAAATTTAAATTGGAGATATTTTACTGTTTTTATCCTAATTTATAAGTTGAGGCAGGTCATTTTATGATTATTTGGGAAATGAGGGACTTTTTACATTATTTTATCCATTTGGGTGTGGGGGATAAAGGGAATATTTTACTTTTTAAGACCAAATTTTAATTTATACAGGAGACTTTTTTTTATCTTTTTTTAGTTAAATGTTGAGCCCCCAAGTCAAATCAAAGACTTAAAAACTGGTACTCCAAAAGGAAAAGATAGGTGACCTACTGTGGGCATTTGTCTTGGTGAACTAGCACCTTAAAGTCCAGCTAACCCACAGGCCGGCTGGCTAGTACAAGCAGACAGGTATTTTTAATACCGTTTGGCATTTTTAAACTTTGGCATTTTTCATTTGGCTTTTTGTTTTATGTGTTTTTGAACTATTTGGATTTATACCATTTGGCAATTTTCATTTATGTTTTCATTTTTTTCAACATATTTTGTAATCAACACACCAAAAACACTTCAAAATTAAGAGTGGGATATATACTTTTTGGCCTCCTTAATGTTTATCAATCAATACAGCATTCTATTTTCAAATTTACATTACACAATTTGGCTTTCTGTAACGTTGGCTGTTAATCTTTTGTACGAATGCTATGATGACCATTATGTGTAGAAAATAAGACTACATTTCTAAAAGTGGTTCAGGTTCATATATTTATGTTTGATATCAATCAGTTCTAAATTTCCTTCACATTTCTAAAATTTTAAGATCTTCCATATCTGGTACATCTTATAATATCGTATTCATCTACTAACCCAATTTTCTCATAGGGACTTAACACGAAGCAGAAGGGGTATTAGGTGGTAGGTGGTTAAGGGTGTTATGGTAGGGTGAAAGGGTGAGAAAGGGAGGGAGAAAAATAGAATGATGGAGAGGGTGAGGGTATATGATTGTGAGTGGAATATAGAGAGGGAGTTAATCTGTGAGAGAATGTGATTTCATAGTAAGGGCAGGGTGTACTGGTCTGGAAGTATAGTTTCTGTTTTGTCTCATGTAGTTTCTGTTTTCTACATCAATCTGATAAGTTTAAATATTGAGAAATTGCTGTCGTCTAAAAGTTCACAGGTTAACAGCCTTTCTTGTTACTGTTTATGTGCTGCTTATATATAAATATTGTAGCACTTCTCAGTAGCTAGATAGAGTTGTGGCTTTTCATCAAATTAAGCAGCAGCTTCTGTACAGTTCATGTTGGAATGATACCAAGTGCTGTGTTTTTCTTCCAAGTTGAGAACATTTTTTATCTTCATGAACTAGTAATTACACATGATGAAGCTTTGTATGGCCCCGCAACAAATATGGCCTCGCAACAAAGCTGTCGGGGCCATATAGTTTTACCCTTGTCTGTCATTCCATCATTCCGTCAATCCATCTTTCCATCATTCTGTCATTCCGTCATTCCGCAACAAACCATTATACGGGCTTTTTTTCTAAATGCCTTCAGATATTAGGATGATTTTTGGTATGTGAGTTCACCATGATGAGTTTTAGATGAAGTTTTAGTTTCGTTCTGGTCCGCTAATTTTTGCCAAAATTACAGGCTTTGGACTTCGATAAATTGTTGAAAATCACAGTTATACAGACTTTTTTTTTCTAAAGGCCTTCAGATATTGGGCTGATTTTTGGTATGTGAGTTAACCATAATGAGTTACAGATCAAGTTTGAGTTTTGTCCTGCTCTACTATTTTTGCCAAAATTACGGGCTTTGGACTTCGATAAATTGTTGAAAATCACAGTTATACAGGTTTTTTTCTAAACGCCTTCAGATATTGGGCTGATTTCTGGTATGTGAGTTAACCATGATGAGTTACAATCAAGTTTATGTTTAGTTCCGCTTTGCTAATTTTTCCCAAAATTACAGGCTTTGAACTTTGATAAATGGTCGAAAATCACAGTTAAATGGAGTTTTTTAAAGCCTGAAGATTTTGAGCAGAATTTTGATATGTGAGACTACCATCATGTTTGTGTTCACATGTGTTGTTGAAATTGCAGATTTTTCAACTTTTTGAGACAGGGCCATTCGTGTCGTTTCGACACATCTAGTCTTTTTTTGCAACATGTTTTTTTATCAACACAACCAAAACACTTCAAAATTAAATATACACTTTTGACATTCATTATGATTATCAATTATTTTCAAATTTACATTAAATAATTAAATAACTTTAGTATAAGTAAATAGAAATGTATGAAATTTGAACACAAGGTTTATAACCACACAAGAAAGGTTGGGGTTGATTTAAGGGGTTGTGGTCCCAACAGTTTAGGGATTTAAGGAGGCAAAAAGGGGCCCAAAAAAACATTTTTCTAGTTTCCAGACAATAACTTGTGGAACATTGTATGGATCTCTCTGAAATTATACCACGATTTTCCATTCCTCAAAAGGATGGTTAGGATTGGCTTTTGAGGGTTATAGCTTAAACCAATTAGGAATTAGGGGCAAAAAAGGGGGAAAACAATGATTTCCTGTTTGATGGACTATTACTTATTTAAGTACATGGATGTTACGTTTGAATTACATCCCTTACACTACTTTTAAATCATGTATAACGAAATGTATTGTCTTGAGGTGATTTGCTGCCAATTTGTTTTTAGAAAAAAGTAAAATCACAAAAATACTAAACTCTGAGAAAAATTCAAAACGGAAAGTCCCTAATCAAATGGCAAAATCAAAAGCTCAAACACATGAAATGAATGGATAACAACTATCATATTCTGACTTGGTACAGGCACTTTCTTATGTAGAAAATGGTGGATTGAGCCTGCTTTTATAACTAGCTAAACCTCTCACTTGTATGACAGTCACATCAAATTCCATTATATTGACAACGATGTGTGAACAAATCAAACAGACATAACAGGTGAAAATGTCAAAAATACAGCCATCAAGAGAGAACTAACTGTTTTTAAAAAGAATTTTAGGATGTATTTAAATGGGTAATTATGGTTACAAATTCTATTTGGAATTTTAAATTTTAAATTTTAGATTACAGAAATTTCAGAAATTAAAAAGACATTTTCTTTAAATATAATTTATTTTTGCCAAAAAAAAAGGGGAGGTGTCAATAAACAACAGCATAATAGTGTATTGCACAAGAGCAAAAAAAAATGAGGGGTCAATACGCAACAGAAAGCTTAAGGGGTGTATTTTTTTTTGGGGTAGGGGGGTCAATTCGCAACAGCATAGTGTATTGCATATAAGCCAAAAAAATTAATATAAATTGAAACATATAACCAATTCTAAGTTCCTTGACTACAGTTATTCTCTGTCAGAATCCTATTATGTGTCAAATATTTAATTACAATCCATATTCAGACCCAAGCGCGAATATTGTGTTCATTTTTGCCCCAACTGTTCATGGTAGGACCTCCACGGTCGTATCTAGCTGCGCTCGGCGAAGCAATTTATTATCTTTGAAATGTTTTGTAGGAATTCTGCTTCACAGAAATACAAAACAAGTCGGTCATTAGGGATGACCAATAAGTACCCATAAGTGAGACTATAAAACATAACAAGGTTGAGAAAAATAAAATTTGGTACATTATAAACCTATAATAATGTAAGCTCTGTACAACTTTTTACCAACGAACAAATAAAAGGCGTATACAATTCATGTAAACAATTTAAGACATGCAAATAAAATAAAATGCATATCAATATGAAAGCATTATTAAGTGAAACAAGATGTCACAGTGCTCATGATAGCAACACTGAAAAAAACACAGTTAAATTGAGCGCAGAGCCGGAATATAAAAGTAAAAACAAAGCAAAGGAGAAAAATATAAAGTACCGATGATAAAAGTATGTATGCAGTACCAGTGAAGACCCAGAAATTTTAATAAAGGGGGTGGTAGTGGCCAAGAGGGGTCCCACTCCAGAGTCATGCTTCACTGATCCCTAAATAACTTAGTTAGTCAAACGAATTTTCCTACAAAGGGACCGGGACCCCTGTCCCCCACTTAATACGCCTCTGAGTACAAGTCATATTTAATGCCCATTATAGAATGACACGATTTCCCCGCTATAAATAACATTATCTTTAGTTTAGAATAAACAGTGTTTTCACAAGGTTCGGTTACAATTCATATTACATATAGATTTTTCTTTTAAATAATCATAACAGATATAAGTTTTAAGAATGTTCTAATTTACGAAAACAGGTTTGGTATTTGAATGTTAAATAAAACTGTTATAATAATAGTTTCCCAAAATAAAACCTTCCTCATTCAAAATATCTCTGACCATTGGCTATCGAACGGAGCAACTGGAGTACTTCTGTTTATTAAACAAAACCAACCGGAAGTTAGGTTGTTGTCGTGACTTTTCTACCAAGCTCATCCAAAGTGCAATATTGTTGTGTGATTTTACTTTATACACGTGCTTTAGATAGATGATAACACAAATTACTATCAAGATAGATAAACAGAAGCTAAATTTTATTTACAATTTAAGTATCCAAATATTGTATGCTTTGTCATTACATAATTCAACCGACTAGATCTACAACAACCTATTCTCGGGAACCAGGTTCTGTAACCAACATCCTACAGACACTTGGCTGGCCAACACTAGCAACACGCAGACAAGGAGCCAGGCTTATACTCCTATATAAGATCCTGCATGGAGAAGCATCAGTCATTATCCCAGATTACATCAGGAGACCAACTGTAACAACCAGACAATATCACAGGCACAGAGACAGGTTTTCCAGAGTCAGCACTTCAACGGATGCCTATAAATACAGTTTCATCCCCAGAACAAATTTTTGACTGGAACCAATTATCTGAAAGTGCCATCCAAGCCCCCACAACAGACGCCTTCCGGGTCTGTGTGTGGCAGTTCCTGGCGTAACTATATATACACCTAATCGCTATTTATTCCATTCCGGATAAGTTCTAAAATTACACAACTTTTTCATCCAGTTGACGCTATCTGGGACCCTGTTTAAACAATGCACCATGCATGATACTTTTTAATGAGACCTGTTTAAAACATCGTAAATACTTCAAACACAATATTTTTTTGACTTTAATTTGAGTTTGGAAAAAGTGGATCATAATCTATCAAAGTTTCCTATTGATCGCTTTCTAAATTTTTCCCTCCCTCAGCTCGTTACTGATGACCTTTGCTTGCGGCCTGTTGACCCAAACAGGAAGTTGTCTAAATGACTGTTTTTTCCGGATTGGACTAAATAGCGATAAGGTGTATTGATACCTGATTTTAACCCTGTACAGTTGTTGCAAACTCACATAATTTTATTTGATTTTGTTCCTGTAAATACACAAGTTTTTGTTTATTTTTAACTTGGCGTGTACTGATTGACACACCCGCACAGTATATCTGTGTTATGGAAAATTATTTCAACTGCAGATTAACCACAAAATATAGAAGAAGAAGTACAATAAACACCAGACAACAGGAATGACAGGATATATCTTCTGGGGGGTAAATGGTTAAAACTAGATATAAACAGATTAACTTACTAATGTTCTATTATATACTGGTAAAGTACTAGGGTATCAGTACTAGGGTATCAGGTTGTTCTGGCCCAAAATTAATCTGGCCCCAAAACAATCTGGTTAATTACACTGTGACCAATATTTACGACGGAAGCTTGATCAAATGTCGACAGCCCATTTATGGTATTCAACAGCTCATTGGTCAGAGTTCTAGTCAAATCATTATCTGGTCAAATCGGCACCCGGTATAGTCAAATCAGCACCTAGTCAAATTGGCACCTAGTTAAATGGCACCTGATGTAGTCTTTAGGCACACATGATAAATATATTTAACCCGCAAAATTTTTTTTTGGATTGTATAATGGTATGATGTCGTCGTCTGCGTTGTCCGATGACACATTTGGTTTCCGGACAATAACTTTTGTTTACATGAATGGATCTCTTTGAAATTTAATAAAAAGGTTCAATACCACAAAAGAAAGGTTGGGATTGATTTTGGGGTTGATGGTCCCATCGGTTAAGTAATAATAAGCCCAAAAAGGCCCCAAAACAAGCATTTTTCTACTTTCAGGATAATAACTTGTGTATAAGTATTTTAATTGCTCTGAAATTGTACCATAATGTTTAATACCACAAGTAAAAGGTTTGGATTCATTTTGCGGTCTATGGTGTCAACAGTTAAGAATTAAGGGCCCAAAAGGGGCCAAAAACAAGCATTTTTGTAGTTTCTGGACAATAACTTGTGTGTAAGTGTATAGATCTCTCTTATATTGTACCACAAAGTTCCATATCACAAAAGGAAGACTTAGATTGAGTTTGGGCATTATTGTCCCATTCATGCAAGAATTAGGGGCCATAAAAGGGCCAAAAACAAGCATTTTTCTAGTTTCCAGACAATAACTTGTTGTAGTTTACAGTCAATAACTTGTGTTTAAGTTTATAATCTCTCTGAAATTATACCACAAGTTTCCATACTACAAAGGGATAGTTATTGGGGGTTATGGCTTAAATCATTTAGCAATTAGGGGCCAAAAAAAGGGGGAAAACACGTGTTTTTCTGGTTAAAGGACAATTTAGACAATTTAAAAGCTGTGTTAGGGAGGTAATCCAATTCAAATTTAAAGAATACTGTTATATATATATTTGATTACCTCCCTTACACTGTTTGAAAATTATGTATTAAGAAATGATGATTGTCTTGAGATGATAAGCTGTAATTTTTTTTTTAGAAGTAATACTAATCATTTATATTAATTTTAACCATGACTATGTCATTTTATATTTTTATATTTTATGATGTATTTATTAAATGAGTAGTTATTGTTAAAAACTCCATAAGAAATTTGAATTGAGATTATTATTGGAATAAGGGAAAAGAGAAGATGAAAAAAAAGGGGGGGGGGGGGGGGGGGGGGGGGGGGGGGTGTAGGGGGTACAATTTTTCTCATTTCAGATTTCTTTAAATATTTTTTTTAGGGGATTAATATTCAACAGCATAGTGTATTACTCAAAAGCAAATAATTTTTTTAAGTTCATTAGACTACCAGAAACCTATGCTGTGTCAACTATTTAATCACAATCCAAATTCAGAGCTGTATCAAGCTTGAATGTTGTGTCCATACTTGTCCCAACTGTTCAGGGTTCAACCTCTGCAGTCGTTTAAAGCTGCACCCTGCGGAGCATCTGGTTACTTTATGTTTACATTAATATTTGAAGATTTGAACAAATCAAAGGGGAAACCAGGCATTATCTTGCATAATATGAAAAAGAAGATGTGGTACGATTGCCAATGAGAAACAAGCCACAAGAGACCAAATGACACAGAAATTAACAGCTACGGGTCACCTTACGACCTTTAACAATGAGCAAAGCCCATACATATAAGTTATTTCAGTAATTTAACATGGCCTAAATACCTTTGCTTACCATGATAAAAAGTTGAATAATGGAGATAAAGGGTATAATATATCAATGAGACAGCAACTTAATGACACAAAAAGTAAGAAGACATTTAAATATCAACACCAAAGCATCAAAGTCCATTTGGATTGTATCTAAAAACCACAGGGTTAAGATTTTAAATACCTGGTTAAACTGTTGTATAACATTTCAAATACTGTTAATACAGAAATTATTGTATAGTTTTTATATTGTGAATGACATGTTTTTTTTTACTGACCCTGGTTATCCATGAGGGTCTTGCATGGTATATATGTGAGTAATGTATCTGGGTGGGTATCACCAGGTGTATATGTATACACAATATATTGTGAGATGAAGCATAGCCAGACAACTGCCAGGGGCGTAGCTAGGTATCCAATAAACTGTAGGCACAAATTGCGGCAGGGGGTCTGGGGCCCCATAAGGCCCCTGGTAAGGGGTTCTGGGGGCGTAGCCCTCCGACGGAAAACGGTTTTCAGCATTTAAGTTGCAAAATTTTGTGTACAAAAAAACATAAAAAAACGTCATTTTATCATGATAATATACATGAAAACAATGTCGAAAAAATAAACATAATTCTACAATTACATCTGACTGATGAATTAACCGGCAGTACAATTGGAAATATAAAAAAAAAAAATTCGTAAGGGTTCCGCGGAACCCAGTGTCTCGCCTACTTTTGCTGTTAATCGCAGGCTCAACAAAAATGAGGAAAAAAATTAATAAAAATATTCCTTTCTATACCATCTTTTGATTGTAAGTAGCTTCTGTCCAAGTTTGGTACAAATCCAGGATAGTTTATGAATCTAATAAATGTTTTAAAAACTTAAACTGCAGACTGTATGTAATGTTAACTGGAAGAAAAACTAAGTCCATTTATAAGTAAAATAAGGAAAAAATTGAACAAAATTTTAACAAAATTTCCTTCTAGATACTAGCTTTTAATCATAAACAAGCTTCTGTCCAAGTTTGGTACAAATCCAGGATAGTTTAAGAAAGTTGCTAAAATTTTAAAAACTTTAACCACAGAGTGAATGTAATGTTAACTGGCAGAAAAACTAAGTCCATTTATAAGTAAAATACGGAAAAAATGGATTTTTTTTTTTTACAAAATTTACTTCTGGATACTATCTTTTAATCATAAACAAGCTTCTTTCCAAGTTTGGTAGAAATCCAGGATAGTTTAAGAAAGTTATTAAAATTTCAAAAACTTTAACCACAGAATGAATGTAATGTTTCTTGGCAGAAAAACTAAGTCCATTTATAAGTAAAATACAGAAAAAATGGAATTTTTTTTTTACAAAATTTACTTTTGAATATTATCTTATGATCATAAACAAGCTTCTGTCCAAGTTTGGTAGAAATCCAGGATAGTTTAAGAAAGTTATTAAAATTAAAAAACTTTAACCACAGAGTGAATATTTGTGGACGCCGGCAACGACGACGACGACGGAAAGTAGGATCGCTATGTCTCGCTTTTTCCACAAAAGTCGAAGGCTCGACAACAATATTTCCAATATGCATTGCCCAGCGTGGATCAGCGTAGCCCTTTATTAAGCAGCACAACCTGTTTCTGATTGAGTATAATTGATATATACGTCAATTGATAGTACATATTGAAGATCCTTCATTAAAAAAAAAAAAAAATAGGCACGTAAACACTGAGACTACTACATAATAATACTAACTTTTGGAATACGGCGCATCGACCATTCATATTTTGATTCTTAAACCTTCACCCTCCCCCGGCCACACAAACACATACACACACACAGTCAATATGTCATGCAGAAGTTCTGTTCTGTTCATTATACTACCGGTGTCTAACAAAATTCAAGAAATTCTTATTTTCTTATATCCTGTACTGTAAAATCCCTACCTGCTTAGGAATTTGAATAATTATCGTCATTACATGTAGATCTGAGAGTACTAGAAGTTTCTGAAAGCTAGTTGATTGATTGATTGATTGATTGATTGATTGATTGATAGACGTCCAGTGGCAAATAATTCATGCATGTTCAGGACTAAAACAGATAGAGGTCGTCCAGGATGAAGGTCTGGAAATTTGGAAATGCCATGCATTGGAAAATGAGGGTTTATTAAATAGGAACAGAAATTTGCCTTTCAGTAGACAACCTACTAACCCCTCAAAGAGTTGTTTCAAGTGTCTTAACGTGCAGAGAGCGTGGCATTCTTTCTCTCTTCACTAGGCATCAGATTGAACTTGGGCCAACAACAACTAATTAAAAAAAATCATTTATCTAAGTTGAGGTTCATTCAAGTATTTGTTGATTGAAGTGAATTATCTGAAGCAAAGTTCTAGTTTATAGTTTCTATATTAGGTGGAATATAATGACATACAGTTCCAATACGCCACTGATTCAATAAGGATGATAGACTAGTGTACGCATGATATTCGATAATTAAAGAGTTTTGACAAATTCACATGCATCTAAAGATAACATTGTTTATTACTTTTTTTAATAAAAAAATTATTTGTGAAAAAATTATGTGTAGGCACGTGCCTAAAGTGCCTAACGGCAGCTACGCCCCTGACTGCAGTTAATTATGTTTATTATATGCATTAAATTATAATTACTTTTTCATGTGATAGATAAACTTTATAAAGTCATAAAGTAAAGATTATGTGAAATTATCTAATTGTTTTTTTCAGGAAAGTAACTAAAGTTAACTTTAAGTGCAGTATATCTGTGGACATTTTTTGTTCTGATAGTAATATTTTCTTTCTCTTTCACAATAGATGGATGGTAACTGAATCAATACAAATAGCCTCATTGAATTTGAAAAAGCTGCAAATGATATCAGTAACAAAAGATTGTTAGTGTGCAGTGTGCAGACAGTGGTTAAACAGAAGTTAACATTCTATCAGTTTTGGGATTTTACAATCAGCTAGAGGAAATAATAGGAGAAAAAGGGACCTGTGTGGTAAAAACTTCCTAAAAGTCGTCCTTTATGTGTTCAACTTTTTCTTTTGGGTAAGTGTATTATATATATGTTTATAGTTATAGAAAAGGCAACTTAAAAAGATATTACAATTTAAATGATTTATTGATTATTGGTTGCTTAGAATCATCCATTGGCAAATATTATATATGCATGTTCAGAACTAACTATATAAAGTACAGAATTTGTAAATGTATAATATAAGACATAAGAGAAGATATAGATACATGTTAATTGAATAATCTCCCTTTGTTCTTTGTTCAAATTAAATGAAATTCTTCCATCATTGTTTACTGTATTCTGTTGCTAGTAAGATTTTATAACCATGCTAACAGGATAAAAGATCCTAATATAAAATTATTTCTAATTTTTCAGCTAACATTGCTAACTTCAAATTACAAAAATATTCCGTTTCCTAACTTTTCTTTATCATGTTCTGTCAATTAATTAAATGTTCTTTAAAATTCAATAGTATTTTTATGCATGATAAATTCTATATTTCTTTTCCAGCTGACAGCCCGGTTAGCTTTCCTAGCATTAGGGTTATATATCAAGTTCCAGAAGCATACCTATATCAATCTGCTAGGGAACAGTACTTTCCCTTTGGCAACATACTTGCTACTAGGAACAGGAGCCTTTATTATCTTGACAGGAATCATTAGTTGTACTGGGACATGTATAGAAAATAGATGTTTTATGGTTATGGTGAGTTATTTCCCTTTGAACACATTGTCTACTAAGAATGTATACCAAAATTAAGTTTTTTAACTTTTCACAAGCAAAGCCAACAATAAATTGAAAAAAAATCATTTCAGCTAATTCCAATTACATGTTATTTTACTTATGATTGTAATGGATATTATGTTGTATGGTCTGTTCGTCTGTCAGTCCAAATAGATTTTTAGGTTGTTTACATTGACGTTGTGGTCTTATCAACATGAAAATAAGGCCACATGATGTGAAATTACTATGGTATTAGGCCTATTCCATGGTTCACTAAACATTGAAATTATTAAATTCTCAAGTTTGAAGTCATATGAAACGAGTGACTAATGAAAAATAATGTTTATCCAATTCTTGAACCAATAAAATTGAGAATTAATGGAAATGGGGAATGTGTCAAAGAGACAACAACCCGACCATAGAGCAGACAACAGCCGAAGGCCACCAATGGGTCTTCAATGCAGCGAAAAACTCCCGCACCCGGAGGTGTCCTTCAGCTGGCCCCTAAACAAATATGTATACTAGTTCAGTGATAATGGACGTCATACTAAACTCCAAATTATACACAAGAAACTAAAATTAAAAATGATACAAGACTAACAAAGGCCAATGGCTCCTGACTTGGGACAGGCGCAATGCATGTTTATATCATAAACTTAGTCTTCTGTGCACGATTTTATCATTTTTACGCAAAGATATCGTTTTTGAATTGTCAATTTTTTTTCTCTCTGTCAGTTATGATCTAACAAATATGGTAGCTCATTAATTGCCATGTTTTGAAGCCGAAGTTTACCGATTGTTACTTTATAGTAAACTATCAACAAAAAAGGATGCAATCTATTGGCGATTTTATCATAAACATGCTGCTAATAAATGCCTCTTTAATAAGCTAGGTGCATTTTTCCATAATTTTTTTTTCTTAGGAAATTACTATTGAAACATTGTTTATCTGTTATCTTGAAATTATCGTTTGAAAAGGATGTTTTTTTATACAGATGACTTAAGCCAATCAGAAAGTCAGACTAGAGGTCACATGTCTGGCATTTCATTCTCCTGTCTCATATTCTAAAATGTTATGGATAATTAAAACATTGTTGTGATGTCATTCTTTTGTTTTACCTGTTCTTTATTTCAGTGATTGGACTATCATTAACCTGTAAGAAACCATTATTATACCCCACGCAACCGGTTGCGGAGGGTATAATGTTTTTGACCCGTCCGTCCGTCAGTCCTGTTTCTTGTCATCGCAACTCCTCTCAAACCACCCAACAGAATTTCACGAAACCTTTTTAGATAATAAGGACATACTATATAGTTGTGCATATCGACAGGAAATTGCGATTCAATTTTTTTTCTAGGAGTTACGCCCCTTTGAACTTATTTACTTTAATGTACTACTGCAACAGTTTGTCATCGCAACTCCTCTCAAACCACACAACAGAATTTCATGAAACCTTTTCAGATAATAAGGACATACTACGTAGATGTTCATATCGACAGGAAATTACGATTCAATTTTTTTTCCAGGAGTTACGCCCCATTTGAACTTATTTGCCCAATATACTACTGCAACCTTTTGTCATCGCAACTCCTCTCAAACCACACAACAGAATTTCATGAAACCTTTTCAGATAATTAGGACATACTACGTAGATATGCATATTGACAGAAATTACGATTCAATTTTTTTTCCAGGAGTTATGCCCCTTTGAACTTATTTGCCCAATATACTACTGCAACCTTTTGTCATCGCAACTCCTCTCAAACCACCCAACAGAATTTCATGAAACCTTTTCAGATAATAAGGACATACTACGTAGATGTGCATATCGACAGGAAATTACGATTCAGTTTTTTTTCCAGGAGTTACGCCCCTTTGAACTTATTTGCCCAATATACTACTGCAACCTTTTGTCATCGCAACTCCTCTCAAACCACACAACAGAATTTCATGCAACTGTGTAGATAATAAGGACATACTATGTAGATGTGCATATTGACAGGAAATTATGATTCAATTTTTTTTTCTGATACAATTTTTTTTTCTTACACTTATTTTATTTCTCCAATGACAATGTGGGGACGTGGTGTATGTGAGCGCGCTCACTAAGGTTCTTTCATGTTACCTTTAGCTGTCCAATATTTTTAAGAATAGACCTCCTCTTTCTTAAAAATATTGGACAGCTAAAGGGTAGCATTACTGATTCTTACAGATAAATGATAGTTCAATCACTGAAATAAAAAAAAAACTATTAATTACCCCAATTGTTTTCATCATGTAAACAAAAATAAAACCAAAGATCAAATGACAATTAAAAAAACATTTTATTAAAGTCACCTTCCAATACAATAATTTTGTCACATATCAAAACGGTTTCTTGAGAAAAAAAATCACTTTCAAATTGATTTTTGTCTCGCTTGACGGAGTCAAAAAGCGAGACATAGGTATGCTGTTTCCGGCGACGGCGGCGTCAACAATGTATTAGTTTGTGATTATGTCTAGTTTATGGTGAACCACTAGTGGTAAGTCAAAGATATTTGGTATGCAGTTGTATTGGTATTGGCACATCTCATTACCATGGAGATTATTTGGCCTCACCCCCTCAGTCATGGTCTATTGACTTTGAAACTTTGCTTAGTTTTCATGTATTAGTTTGTGATTAGGTCATTTTATGGGGAACCACTAGTGGTAAGTTAATGATTATTGGTATGCAGTTGTATAAGCATTGGCATATCTCATTTCCATGGAGATTTTTTGGCCCCGCCCCCTCAGTCATGGTCTAATAACTTTGAAATTTTTGCTTAGTTTTCATGTATTAGTTTGTGATTAGGTCAGTTTATGGGGAACCACTAGTGATAAGTAAATGATAATTGGTATGCAGTTGTATAAGCATTGGCATATCTCATTTCCATGGAAATTATTTGGCCCCGCCACCTCAGTCATGGTCTATTGACTTTGAAACTTTTGCTTAGTTTTCATGTATTAGTTTGTGATTAGGTCGGTTTATGGAGAACCACTAGCGATAGGTCAATGATATTTAGTATGCAGTTGTATTAGCATTGGCACATTTCATTACCAGGAAAATTATTTGACCCCCACCCCCTCAGTTATGGTTTATTGACTTTGAAATTTTGCTTTATTTAAATGTATTAACTTGTGTTTGAAATTTTGCTATATTTAAATGTATGAGCTTGTGTTTAGGTATGTTTAAAGAGAACTACTTATGATAAGTCAATGGTATTTAGTATGCAGTTGTATTAGCATTGGTACATCTCATTTCCATGGAGATTGTTTAGCCATGTACCTTCAGTTATGGTTCATTGACTTTGAGTATTTGCAAAACGTACATGTTAAATAAAATGTTTCTATTTTAATTTCAACATTTGCATTATCGAAATTACAAAAAAGCGAGACATATCTCTGTGATAACAGCTAGTTTATTAACACTACCAATACTTATATCACAGCCATTTTTCTCATGTTTTTGGGTTGTCTCTTTTAGCACTAATTCAATAAGTTGATTATGCTTGTTGTAAGTCTTGTTTTTATTTCTTTTATGAATTTCTTTTTCCAAAAGATTTATCCTTGTCCGTCTTTAGGTTATCAAAATTGACCTCTGGTGATGCCCTTCCTAACATCATTTTCAACTGCAACTAAAATGAAAAAAGCAATAAAGTAATGCTTTTAAAATTTGATAGATCATGCCGCAATACAAGGGTCATGAACAACCGAAACCTTATCCTGTGTACAAAGTGCGAATTAGAACTTCCTTCATGAACCAGGGGACTATGAAAGTTTTTATAATTTTCAGGTTTCAACGTGTAAAACAATGTAAGATATAAGCCTCTAACAGTCCATTCTGTAAAATATTTTACAGAATGGATTGTTATTGGCTAATATCCCTTAGAGAGAAAAATATCATGTGACATCAAACATTATCCATTGATTTATGGCAAACCTTAAATATCTAAATATTATAAAATATACCTAAATAAAGGCAACAGTAGTATACCGCTGTTCGAAACTCATAAATCGATAGAGATAAAAGCAAATCCGGGTTACAAACTAAAACTGAGGGAAACGCATCAAATATAAGAGGAGAACAATGACACAACAAAAACACAACATTAAAATGTAACACACACAGAAACGAACTATAATTTAACAATGGCCATTTTCCTGACTTGGTACAGGACATTTTAAGAAAAAAATGGTGGGTTGAACCTGGTTTTGTGGCATGCCAAACCTCCCGCTTTTATGGCAACGTCAAACACAACACCAAAACGACAACATCACATGACAGGACCACAAAACAAATAAATGGGAGAACATATAGGACAAAGAAACACACGAATAATAGCTAACAAAAGGTACTATGCTTAAATTCAATACGTCAGACGTGCGTCTCGTCCACACAAGACCAACCAGTGACGCTCAGATGAAAAAAGTTTGAAAGCCAAAACAAGTACAAAGCCAGAAATTATGGAATCATTGTTCAAAAGTACCTTTATGGTAGTAGTAGAATCTTTTTTTAAATATATTTCAATCTAATTTATGTACATACAGGTTGGAAGAGAATGATGAACTATACATATCTGGGATACAGAATCAATGAAACATCTTCAGTACTGAAAGGTCAACATCAAAGAGGGGTCTGTGCTGTAGACTTCTCAGGTATTTATTGTTTGTTCATTTTCAATCTTAATACAAAAAAATTATGCAGATTGAAACATGACAGGATATTTTTGGTGGTTAACCTTGTAATGATTTTGACTGGAACAAAAGAATGAATGTCAGGAAAATCAGGAAAATAAGATTATAAGTACAGCTAGTATGGGAATAAAACCTGGAATTTTATCACCAGATCTGGTTGGACTTGGATATTTGTTGATTTGTTACTGCCTGAAAATTATCTTCTACAGTGATACTTAATTTATTGCCACCTTTTGGAACATGTACAATACTATCGACAAGTCAGGATGGCAGTATATCAAAGTAGAAATTTATATAAAAACTGCACACATTTGAGAAAAGTTGACTCTAGGATTATTCTGTAAATTCGTATTGGCATGCGTAGGCACCGGACACATCCATCTAGAACACCAATACCAATATTTAATATTCAAATAGTTCCAGTGTAATGCTGTGTGTTATTCAAGAAATAGAGTTAATTAATTGTCTATACAATTTTATACCCTTAAAGGACACTTGCTATAAATAATAAAAACGAATGGCAATACAACTATATCAAAGTAAGAAGATATATATTCCTTGATAATTATCAGATGTAGGCTTATCAGACTTTTCTTCCCCGATCTTCCTGATTCGCAGCGGGAGCTTTGCGTGTATATAGCCTTTGATTTTCATATAGTGTGAACAATGTATTTCTTCCACTGATGTCTTCCTATTTTTCTTACGCATTCCCAATATTTATATGTGTTGCGCCTTAAAGATGAAATCATATTCATTTGTATATGGTTCAGTATAACAGGAACATATATATTGATATACTGTTCCCAGGGTATAAGTTTACGGAGCTGTACGTCAAACTGAATTAAATTGTCTAGTCAGTTATGACATACAATTATCCATGACTTGAGTTTGAGCAGGTAGATGTTTCTTTGAGTTTATATCCTAAAAGGATTCACCACACGCACTGTTTAGGTTTTATTAGTCTATAGATTATTGAAAACACAAAAGGGGTCTGAAAGAGGGGGAGGGGGGGGGGGGGGGGGGGGGGGGGGGGGGGGGGGGGTAAATTGTTTGATCCTTAATTTCTGGAAAAAATAACTTAATTTATACAGGGAAGTGAAAAAAAATAGTTTGTTTCCCTTGAAAATTATGATAAAATAAATAAAACATTTAGTTTTAAAATAAATCGTGTTCCTGTCGATATTTGATATTGAAGAAAATAGTTTTTATTCTAAATTGATTTGCATTAATATAACTGAGAAATTCACTGCATTTTGTGCTTAATCTATTGGGTTCTTAGGCTTAAGAATTGCGTTAATTAAACATGAAACTGGTTTTGCCAATTACTGGTATCAATTTGTTAAACAAAAAAATATGTAATGGATTTCCACTATAGAAAATTGTAGAAATGTATATAAATTTAGAATTATATGCCCAAAATACAGCCTCTAAAATTTTCCATTTCAAGTTTTGATCCAAATCTACAATGCTGACTTTCTATTTGAAATGTTTTAATGTTCTGATATCATATTTATGTGTCTAGGCTGGTGTCAAGTTTTATTGATCATTTGTGAAATCCAGAAAAAAGTAGATTAGCATTGAGAAAAATGTATTCATGGTCCTGGTTCTGGTGTGTTTAAAGTTATTCAAATGTGAGGTGCTTAATTTACATAAAAAGATGAATTAAGATGATCCGCCAGTAGCCAGCAGATTAAATAAGTTTTATATAGATATTACCAAGGAATTGTATATTTAAAAGGAATGGAAACGCGGCTCGAGATCAATCGGGATACCCGCAAAGCACCCGCAGAGCTATAATCCATGTCTGTCTCAGTCGGAAGTATGATGAATAATATAAAGAATCAAAGAATCATGACGGAGGTCCATTTCCTGTCATATAGATCGGTCTTTTAATTCACGGGGTCATCTTGCTTGAGAAGATATAAAGGAAAGAGAAACCCAAAATCAAGAATAAACTTTTATTCCATGAAAAAGGTAAGGCCCTAGGTATCATTTTAATGCCTCATCAAACATACGTTTGTAATATTGTATTATGTAAATTCTCATTAAAATAGACCTTGGTCTTGAAACTTGAGCGAGTTTCATCCGGATTACAAAACAAAAAATACTGTGGTTTGATTTTTTTCTAAAAGCTTGACAACTACGAAGTGCAAAACAAAACAGTTGATATCATTATGAAGCTGAAACCTTATTCTATCATTTTGCCCTTTTTTTAAGTTTCTGGTAAAATTTCTGAATTTTCTACGATTTTTTCGAAATTTCAGTTTCAAATTTCATTATTCTGTCAAAATATGTCTATCAATCTGGGAGTGTACTACGATTTCTTTTAAATAATGGAAAGTAGAAAGAACAAAGTGAGAAAATGAGATATCATTTTAAAGAAGGAATATTTTCCTACAGTTTGGTCTAAATTACGAATGCTAAATGTAATTGGTACAATGTAAATGATTTTATTTCGAAACATGTTGAAAATTTGAAGTAGTGCGTCAATAAATACATCGACAATTTGTATTTTGGTAAGGGTTAAATAACTACTTGAAATAGATGTGACATTGACATACAACTTAAAAGCTTAATCTTTTTTCTATCACATAGTGTTGGTTTTATGGAAATGATGATAAAAACGAATTTGCTATGATTTTTCAAAATCCCATGTTTATAGTTCACATTGACGCCATTTTGATCAGTCCAGTTCCACACCGACGAAGTCTGAAATTACAGGCAAGAAATGTATATAAGACTTCCGATTGGGATTGATTGTGCCGTTTTATACACGATTTTAATCATTTATTTTTTTTGTCAAATACTATTTTTATACTTAATCGTTGTTTGGTATTGCAGTTTGCCATTATTAAGCTTTGCAGCAAATTACCACAAGCTTAAAAGCAAAACAGTTCCTTCCTTTTTTCTAGAAGAGCAGTAGTCTAGAGGTCGCAAAATATTCCTTCGGTGTTAAAGTAAATAATATGCGAATGTCGGAAAGTTTTAAATGTTTCTTAAAAAAAATATTGTTCCACGGTATAATTTAGCATTTATTAACAGGTGAACTCGGCGTGATTTCTTTTTGACACCTTAAATCAGGGACAGCCTATATATAGTTAGTATACACTGTTCCTGCTTAAATATATATACGACAAAAATTAGCTTATCAATGATACATGATAGATTATACCTGCAAATTGGATATCCCATACCGGTGTTTATTATAACACCTATTATCTAAGTTCTTTTATCTAGACAAAATACTACATCTGTTCACGTACTTCTTCCTTTATACTTTTCTATACAATGTCATATTCCAAAATTGAAAAGTTATTTTTTAACTTTTTGCATTACCTTAAATCTTTTTAAAAACTCGTACAGTGTCAGATTTCATCTATTAATTGATCTGAATTGTTGCATACCTTCGTGAAATATCAAGAAGAGGTACAAGAAAAAAATGTTTTTCAGAAGTAACTTTGTTTAAGGTTGTATTTTTTGTTTATTTCATTTAAGGAATTGTATATCTAAATAGACAATTCCTTGTTTTATTTCATGATTAAATGACCAAGTTCGATAACTACTGCCAGATAAGTAATGAGCCAGTTCGAGCGACGGGATGTAATTAACACACCACCCAAGTCAGAGATGCATCATACAATTTTCTTTGAAGTCGGCCGCGTTTCCATTCCTTTTAAATATACAATTCCTTGATATTATGTTGTGTCCACTTGTGTCCGCCTGTATAGTCACTAGTTTTTATATGTTTTATATAGAAATAGCACTGTGTCCTGCTGTGTCTGCCTGTAGCCAGCAGATTCTATACGTTTTATATAGATATTACGTTGTGTCCACTTGTGTCCGCCTGTAGGCCCCTGTTTCTGTAATTTTTATATAGAAATATCACTGTGTCCAGCTGTGTCCGCCTGTAGCCAGCACATTCTATGTTTTATATAGAAATTACGTTGTGTCCACTTGTGTCCGCCTGTATCCCCAGTTTTTATAATTTTTATAAAGGAATAGCACTGTGTCCAGCTGTGTCCGCCTGTAGCCACCAGATTCTATAAGTTTTATATAGAAATTACGTTGTGTCCACTTGTGTCCGCCTGTATCCCCAGTTTTTATAATTTTTATAAATGAATAGCACTGTGTCCAGCTGTGTCCGCCTGTAGCCACCAGATTCTATAAGTTTTTTTGTAGAAATTTCGTTGTGTCAACTTGTGTCCGCCTGTTTCCCCAGTTTTTATAATTTTTATAAAGGAATTGCACTGTGTCCAGCTGTGTCCGCAGGTAGCCAGCATATTATATAAGTTTTATATAGAAATTACGTTGTGTCCACATGTGTCCATCTGTAGCCTCCTGTTTCTTAAAGTTTTATATAGAAATAGCACTGTGTTCAGCTGTGTCCGCCTGTAGCAAGCAGATTCTATACGTTTTCTATAGAAATTACATTGTGTGTACTCGTGTCCGCCTGTATCCCCCTATATCTTAAAGTTTTAAATAGGAAATAGCACTGTGTCCAGCTGTGTCCAGCTGTGTCCGCCTGTAGCCAGCAGATTCTATAGTTTTATATAGAAATTACGTTGTGTCCACTTGTGTCCGTCTGTAGCCCCCTGTTTCCTAAAGTTTTATATAGAAATAGCACTGTGTCCAGCTGTGTCCGCCTGTAGCCAGCAGATTCTATAAGTTTCATATGGAAATTACGTTGTGTCCACTTGTGTCTGCCTGTAACCCCCTGCTTCTGTAATTTTTATATAGAAATAGCACTGTGTCCAGCTGTGTCCGCCTGTAGCCAGAAGATTCTATACGTTTATACAGAAATAACGTTGTGTCCACTTGTGTCCGCCTGTATCCCCTATTTCATAAAGTTTTATATAGAAATAGCACTGTGTCCAGCTGTGTCCGCCTGTAGTCAGCAGATGCTATAAGTTTTATATAGAAACTACGGTGTGTCCACTTGTGTCCGCCTGTAGGCCCCTGTTTCTGTAATTCAGGCATATCCAACTATAGCAGTCATCACGTGACATTGGCGACGTCACACATCACCCGTATCATGCCCAAGTAAAATGTATAGAAATGCACAGGGGCTTTCAGGAATCGATAAAATAAAGTACTTTAAGTTCACGATAAAAAAGTGTGGAAATATATAGTAATTCCTCATATATTTAGAAATATATTTATGCCTTTTGGAAAAGTTTAAATTTTGGTCTTCTCCCTTCCAAATGCTTTTGAAAATTTGTCTTGTTGCCTCGATAATTCACACTGTTATATCATCCAACTCCGATAAATATTGGATTTTCTGTCGTGTTGAACCTAAAATTGCGATTTAAACAAAACAGATGGAAAAATTGTGGAAATATGTGCTTATTACTATATTCATAAATATTTGAAATATCGTTCATGCAATAGTTTAATTTTTTATTACGTCCCTTCCAAATTGATTTGAAAATTAGCTATTTTCAGAAAATCGGGTATTATTTTTCAAGATGGCGACCACATTGACAGCGTGGGCCGACTTGGTAAAAATATATTTTGTAAGATTGTTACAATGAAAATCAAATAACTGTTGGATGCTCGCGTTTTCAGTCATTGTCTTACCTTAAAGCAGCATAGAATCAAACAGTGGTTCCTTTTGATAAAGCTGATACATGCTGTTGTTTTTTTATAAAAATTTAAAAAAATGGCGACCAAATAATTTTCAAACG